CCAAAGTCTCAGCTTCCTGACTCCCAGTTCAGTGCTCTTACTCTTCCAACACAATCTCAATTATTTGGTTTACACTGGGAATAAAGTTATGCAAAAAGAGCTTGATAGTTACATGCTTAGTACAAGAAAAAATTGTAAAATTATCATTTTTTAGAACTGAAAGGGACCCTAGAGATCTTTCATTTCTGTGTTTCATGTTTCAGATGAGGAAACTGAGGCCCAGAGAAGGTAATTCAATATCCCAAGGGAAATTTACTAGTAAGTAGAGCCATGACTTTTTATAGCAACAGTATACTACATACCCACTATTTGTAAAGATTGAGCACTGGGGTTGTTTGTTTATTTGTGTTCCCCAGTAGTAGTGATGGAGTGTGCTGGGCCACACACACTCTCTTTCTAGACTCCTTATGACCTTATGACATAAGTTGGATGGCCAGCGCTAGACAATGGATCCTAGCTAGACCATTTGGAATCAAATTGATGGCTCTGTTCTCATTAGCACTATCCTTTCAACCAATGATTCTCAAACTTCAGTGTGTATCAGAATTGGACCTCATGTGTGCAGAATCTTATAAAGCTGATAAGAATCAGTTTATTGAAATTGCACATACCTGGCCCCACTTTCAAAGATTCTGATTCACTAGCTCTAGGGTGTGACTGGAATTTGTATTTTTATAAACACTCCAGGTAATTCTGATGCACAGGCTGCACAATGAGAAATCTCTGGCCTATGCTGAGACATTAGGTTTTGGTCATGCATAGAAAATTTGGAACTTTCTAGCTCAGAATAAGAGAATTAGAGATTGGGTACAACCCCAAATCAGGATCAGGTTTCTTAATCTCATTCCATTCGGGATCTGCCATTCACCGTACTTTACTTGCCTCCCTCCCCTCTCACTGATTGCTGAGACAGTTAGCAGGTAAAGGTAGCATTGCCCTCATACACACCCATACAGTAATAAAAACCCTGAGGGACATAGATGTCTGTGGTTAGCAAAACTATTTCATTACACGTCTCTTACCTATCGCTCTTTCAACAGGTCCATTAAGGTTTCTAAGATTTAGATATTGTAACTAAATATAATAGTTAACATTTATAAGAGGCCAGATTTAATGAGTCCAGATTTTTATTTTAAAGACTCCTTTTCAAACCACTCCCCCCATACATAAGCACACACACACCTACATACACAAGCACTATTTATTCTACAGGAATTTGTTAATTCTCAGCTCTATGCTTTGCTGTGTATGAGGGCCTATGAAAGCAGAAAAACGAAGGAGAAAGCATGTTGGCCTTGTACTCGTAGAGTTACAGTCTAGTGTAGAAAACAACCTCACAAACAAGAAACAACGAGTTGTGTTTTAAGCAACATGTGAACATGTGCAAGATAAAAATAGAGTATAACCTTTACAGATTGAGGAACTCCTGTATTAAATATTGACTCTGTTGTTTTCATGATTTAATTCCTTGAAGCAGAAAGCTTGATATTTAGCTAGACTGAAAGGAAACACAAGGGCCCTTTGCATCTGCTCCTCCTAATGCATGCAGTGGCACAGATTCTCAGTGTACTGCCTTGTACTTTTTCTTAATTGTCTCATAGGTACAGACAGATCTTATTTCTCTAATAATCATAAAGAATGCTTGAAGGCAGGAACCATGTCTTATATTTTTTCTCTGTCTCCTACAGGGTCCAAAACTGTTATTTTATTGTAAGCAATAGTTAAGCCCCTACTGTGTACCAGGACCTGTGTGAGATGTTAAGATCCCTGCCCTCAATGATTCCCCTTCATTCACTCAGCAAAAATTTCTTGAGCATTTCCCAGGTGATAGGCCCTGTCCTTAGAGCTCTAGGTCCATAGATAAGTAACATCCTCCTTCTGCACTTTAAAAGGTCATGTGCCAGTGAGGAAGGCAGACATGTGTACTGTATTAGATTGCAAGGGCCACTGTAACAAAATACCACAGACTAGGTGGCTTAAACAACAGAAATGTATTGTTTTCTACATTAGTAGATCTTAGAATCTAAGATCAAGGTGTCTGCAGGGTTGTTCTCGTCTGAGGGCTATGAAGGAGAATCTGTTCCATGCCTTTTACCTAGTTTCTGGTGGTCTGCTGGCATTTTTTGGCATTCCTTGGCTTGTAGAAGCATCCCTGATCTCTGCCTTCATCTTCACACGAAATTCCCTCTGTGTCCAAATTTCCCCTTTTTCTAAGCATACCAGTCACATTGGATTAAGGCCCACTCTACTCCAGTATGACCTCATCTTAGCTAATTACATCCGCAACAACCCTATTTCCAAATAAAGTCACATTCTGAGGTGTTAAGAGTTAGGATTTCAATATATAAATTTTGGGGGGACATAATTCAACCCAGGACACAAAGAACTAAACACAACATGGTCAGTGCTTTAACAGGAGTGTATTAAGCACTGAGCTTAATTGGCATGAGGACAAGCATCAGAGAAAATGGGACAAGTGTCCAAAGCTTGGGCAGACCATGGATATTCTCCAGGTGGGGAAATGGGAAAGAGCTTTCAATTAAAGGCATGTCTGTGAGAGCATGGCGCACTTGGGGAACTGCAGAAAATTTTATGGGGTGAAAACTGGGGGGCATATAAAGGAGACGTGTGAGATGAGGCTGGAAAAGGAGACAGAAGCCAAACCATGAAGAGCCACATCACAATGAGCAGCCTAATCCAGAGGCAATGAGAAGCTATGGAGAGTTTTTAGCAGGAGAACATCATGGCTTATCTACATACTCGCTTGGCAAGACTTTTGATGATATCAAAACACAGGATGGGCACTGAAATGGGGTCATATTGGAAGCAGAGACACAAGTTAGGAGCCTATTGGTAAGAATCTAAGCATGAAATCTTGAGCTCCTAGGTACGTTCAAGAGCAGTAGAAATGAAAAGAGGGTATAGATTTACAATGGGAGGCTGGAAACAGAATGATGGGTCCTAGTAAACAGCAGTTGGAGACAACATCGGTGTGAACTTCGGGGATGTAGATGAAGCTGGTGAGGAAGCCAGGGGCCAAGAGTCGGATAGTCACAGCAGGAACCCAAGGGAAAGGCCCATTTCTGGGAGGGGGAAGGAGAGATTGAGACAGCCCTTGAGGATAGTGGCATCAGACTGGCCACACCCGTCTCTAGGATTTCCACTCTCCCACCCCAACCCCATTCCCACTCCATATCTGACTTCCACCTGCAGTTTTGTACTTGACCTTTATAGGGCACGGAAAACGTGTTTAGATGATCTCTAATCGAGTCAGGAATACTGTTCCCTGAATCAAGGCCAGACGAAAGAGTGTACTGAGGGAACATGACCCCGTGGGTGGGGGAGAACTGAAATCATAAGACTTGTGATGGCTTCATGCCCATGTCCTTTGCCAGCCCAGACAAATGCAAACCAGTTTACCACAGTTATTGCAGGTGCAGCATCATTTGGTGCCTGGCTTCTTCATCCACTGGCCATGACACCTAATTAGACACAATAGAAGTTGCAACTGGAGACCAGTTGGAATTTAATTCCTAATAAAAAGAAGGAGGTGGTTCAAGAAACCCTAAAAGTGTCCACCACCATATTCAGCTGAGTGGAGTAGCTGGCAATAGTATCATCTTGGGGTTTCTCACTTGGACTGGGCACTCACGGCACTATGTTCTGCTCCAGAAAATGGTCCCTTTCTGGAATCTTTCTTTTCCAAACTTTTCTCTCTCTCTCTCTCTCTTTTTTTTTGTGAGGAAGATTGGCCCTGGGCTAACATCCATGCCCATCTTCCTCTATTTTATATGTGGTACGCCTCCACAGCATGGCTTGATAAGCGGTGCACAGGTTCACACCAGGGATCCTAACCTGTGAACCCTGGGCTGCCAAAGTGGAGCAGGAACTTAACCACTACATCACCAGCCTGGCCCCCCATACTTTTCTATTTTTGTCCCACTCATGAACAGTCTAAATTAAGCTGGTGTACTACAGGAACCAAGAAGTAATCATATTTCTAGCAAACACACATTGCACATTTATTTACCATGTGCTGGGGGCTGCTCTAAGCAAGTTATATACGTTAACTCATTTAAGCCACACAATAACCCTATGGGGTAGATTCTATTATTATCTTCATTTACAGATGAGGGGCTGGCAAAGGCCACAAGAATCTCCCACTCAACCACAGGAGGAAGAAGTCTGGTTTGAACCCACCAAAGTATGTCTGAGAGTTCTTCACTCCAGCAAGGGAAGGCGGTGGTTAAAGAATAGGATTAACCTACATGGGAAGCTTTGCCGCCTGGACAGGCAGCTCACAGCAAAGACTCATTTTCCTGAACATTCAGCAGGGTGTGGCCACCTCCCCAGTCAGAGTTGGACTTCACTATCCGACCAGGTCATTAAACAGAGGAGGTAGGAATTCAGAGCTGGGCTACCACCTCCCCCTCCCTCTTCCTCAAAAGGAAAGTGGGCTGGGGGGAACATAAATTACCTCACAGGATATCGGGAGAAAGCCTCACATGTGTCCTCAGTGATTCATTTGGGTGGACTACTTTCACACCAAGAGAAATGCAAAAGTTCAGAGTGGGGTCATCGGGGGCCCCTCCCTCCTCGAGTGCAAGAAAAATTTCCTTCTTTGCAAAGCGCAGGCACAGTTGGAATACAACTCCATCCAAACAGGAAATCACTAAGATTCTAGGTAAAATTGGTGCCTTACTTCTAAAGGTCAAATTTTTTCATTCACTAAGTGGGTGTTTCCTGAGCGCCTACTGTGTGCCAGGCACATGACATTCATTGTTATGGATCTAGTATGCGCTTTGCGGGAAGATACAAAGAGAGAAAAGACCACACACACACACACACACACACACACATCTGGAAAATCTTACAGGAGAAAGACTTTCAGGGAGCTGTCTTTTTCTAAAAAATAAAAATGAAAATAAAAGGTTTCACACACACACACACACCTCTGGAGTCCCCCAAAGTGTCTGGACTGAGCCCTGAGCAGGGAAAGGGGGAGGCCCGGGGCGAGGGGGGATGGGCGCGAGAAGTGGGTTGGGTGACAAGGTGGAAGGGCAGAGCCAGCAGAGGGATCGGGAGTTGGCTGGCGAGCTGCGCCAGAGGCAGGTGCCAGCTGAGAGTGGGCGGAGGGGCGGGCGCTGGGCCAGACGGGGGAGGCCCGGCGTTACCTCTGCCTCTAGGAGTCGGGCGCGCAGACGGGCTTGCCCGGAGAAGCCGGGGGCACGGGCGTCCCCGCCACCCGCAGAAGGGGCCGCGGGAACAGTCGCAGCAGCCGCCGAGCGACAGCATCCTCTGGAGAGACGCCCCAGGCTCTGCAGCCGCCTCCCTCCTCCGGGGGCGAGCGCCGCCGCCTGCTCCCTGCGCTCCTGCTCGTCGCCGCCCCCTGCCCCGCCGCCCGTCCGCCCGCGGGGGGCAGCCAGCACCCGCGCCCCTGGCCGTTCACCTGCCGCGGGCTCCGGGGCGGGCGGGCGCGGGGCAGAGAAGGTGCGAGAAACAGGAACCCGAGAGACACCATCCCCTGGTCTACACTCCACGCGGAGAGGAACTCCCGCCAACACCACGAGCCCCCGCGCGCCCTGCACCCGGCTCCCAAGTTCAGGGGCGACACCTCTCAAAGCGGGGCTATCCCGCGCGGTGAGCATTCCGGCCCCATCGGGCCGGACTCCAGGCGACCCACTGCGCCCAGCGCCCTCCCGGGTCCCCGGCGAGGCCATGCCCGGGCTGCGCCGGGACCGCCTGCTGACCCTGCTGCTGCTGGGCGCGCTGCTCTCCGCCGACCTCTACTTCCACCTCTGGCCCCAGGTGCAGCGCCAGCTGCGGCCCCGGGAGCAGCCGCGGGGCTGCCCGTGCGCCAGCCGCGCCTCCTCCCGGGCCCCGGACTCCGCCGCAGCCTTCTCGGACCCCCACGCGGCCGCGCACAACTTTTCCCGAGGCGGGACCCCGGCGGAGCAGGACGGTGGCGGCCGCAGCGGCCCGCGCTCCAAGCTGCAGGCCCTCTTCGCCCACCCGCTGTACAAAGTCCCGGAGGAGCCGCCTCTCCTCGGGCCCGACGACGTGCTCCTGGCCAGCCAGGAGGCGCTGCGGTATTACCGGAGGAAGGTGGCCCGCTGGAACAGGTGAGGACCCCGCCCGCGAGGCGGGAGAGCGCGCGCGCCAGCCCCGGCCTCCTCGCGCCCCTCGCCCGCGCTCCCTGCCATGCCGCCCCCGGCCTTGGCCCCGGCCTGCGGCGCTCGAGCCCGGACACTGGGCTCGGAGCATGTTCCCCACCCGGACCCCACCAGCTGCTGTGGACCTCAGAGTTCAGCCCCCGAGTAGATCTCGGTGCGAGAAAAAGTTTCTATGCAGCAGCACAGCGAAGAAATGCTCTCAGCCCCTGCTCTTGAGCTTCGTGTTCACTCCTTAGCACCACTTCTGTTCCCTGGGCCATTTCCCCCTCTTTTTCTCCTTGTCTTGATGTGGAAAGCTGCTGCTGGACTTCGGTTTTCCAGAATGTGGTTCCCAAACAGCAACTCCAGAGCTGGTTCGAATTCAGCACTTACCTCTCTGCTCTTTGGGCAGAACTGGGCGCCTTCCAGAAAGCAAGGCTACTCCCTGAAAACTCAGCTCTTTCCCTTTCCTTGTTCCTCTGCCCAGGGTCAGAGATCACAAGAGGTCAGCTGGGGCAGAAAGTAAACGGTCAGTCCCCTAACATGGTCACCGCTCTGTTCTATTTAAAACGTGCCTTGTGTCTCTCTGGCGAGTGTTATAACTTGAAGGTAGCTTTATCATCGTGGTGATTTGGGCTGATTTGGATCTGAGGCCTGATGTTTTCACAGAGGAGATAAAAATCTACCTGGGAATGTTTAAAATTCAAAGCAAAATGTAGAGGAAAAAAATACCAAACATATTTAGGATAGAATTAAGAAGGATGTTTTTGTGAAAGGGCAGGGGGAACGGAGGGGGAGTGTCACAGAAGGTGGAATGGTCAATACTGAGATCCCTAGCTAATGGCAGAAGGTCTTCACATGAGGTAAGTGCAGACTTGTCTAAATATCATTCACATCCAAAGTTCACTTTTGCACCACACCCATCACTTTTCTTAATACAAAAGATTTCAAAATGATATGTCACCGGGTGGTTTTATAGTCCCTCTGGAGCATGGGTAAACTATAAATCTCTGTGGAAACTCAATGCTAGCCAATTTAACTATTCGCTCATTATTCTGTAGCTGAGACTGACTAGAGGGGTGAGAAAAAACCTTCAGAAAGTAAAAAGAGAAGAAGTTGAGAATTATTGTCTGAAATCACTGTGGTGGATTTCAATTGCAACTCTACGGCTGATGATTTTATATTAGAAACAAAGTGGTTCTTGATTCCATTGCTAATTGTGTGCAATAAAAAGGCAGTTTGAGATTGCTTCTCAGACACTGTTATTTTCAATATTACCTTTATTTCATCAATAACGTGGGAGCCTGGATCAACAAACCAAGAAATTTTGCCCTGAGAAAATTATCTACATGTCTACTGCAGATTTGAGAATGAAGGACTGTGGGCAGTCACTTGCTTTTGTAAATGTAGATCAGCATTCACTTCATCACATTTGTGTGGCCTTAAACTTCCCTAAGTTACTTTGATCCTGAAGGAAAGTTCAAGGGAATATTTTGGCAGAAAAGCAAAAATCTTTCTCACCAATCTCCCCTACAACTGATTTTGAGCTTGATTTCTATACTGTTATGTGTCACAAAAACACATTTACTGATCAGAAATGATCTTAGTCATTTAACAGAGGACCGATCCATGGGGGCTGGTGACCTTGCTGTATTCAGAGGTAGCAGAGTAGTTTTGTGTGGTTGGTTGAATGTGACCATTGTGATATTTACTCATCACTTCCTTCTAGTACTTGAGATCTCAAGTGAGGTTTCTGGGCTGTAACAGGAGAGTCACCTGCACTGATGGGTGTTGAAAGTGGACCTCGGAGGCAGAGAACGTCTTCCCTTCACCCGAACCGTATTGCCAACGTCAATGTGATATTAATAAGCATATGTGCTGTTACTTATATCAGGGTTAAAAATGGAACATGGAAGACTCATTAGCCAGCATGAATTTGAGTCACACTAAGTTCTACTGTAAGAGACAGTCACTCGGTACCTTGAGTGAGGGAGCACCCTGACGAATATGAGGACATGTAGAAGTGCTGATGAAGCCCATGTGCCTGCTACAATGTGCAGGGCCAACGAAGGCTCCAGATCTCAGGGCGGGCACGTAATTAGAACGGACGGCAAAGGAAGAAATAGTGAATGACCTTGCTAATTGTTTGTCTCTTACACAGACATGCCCTCCTTATTTGTAACCACAACCCAGCCAATATTTAAACACTAGGGATTTATAGACGTATGTGGGTGCCACCATGCCAATAATTACCTAACATTAACTGCTATCCAAAATAATTGTATCAGCAAACCATCTGCCACATCAGAGGAAGTGCAGGTAATAAAATAAGCTAAATCAGCATTCTTCACCACTGGCCCAAAAGAGACCATTAGTCTAAGTGAGTGATTTTTTTTTTACCATCACACTAATTCAAAGTAATGGTATGAAGCCGGAAAGTATCTTTCTACAACTTGAGCTCATTACCAATAGGAGATAGGTAATGGCCTGTCTTTCTCCCCCAGCACTTTCCTTTTTGATTTCAGTGGAAGACAGAGCTCACACATTGTTTTGAATGTTTCAGGTTCTCAATCAATTTTTGTTAATTGGATGTCGATATTTAGTTAAGTCAAAATGCGAAAGACACATCGTGTGTAGGGCGGGCTATCCGCGTGCTGACACTCAGGGTTTCTGCAAACCTCCTCAACCTGTTCTTCCCTCCCTTCCTCTCTTTTTCCCCTCAAAATGTAACTAAGCGTGGCACAATCCAAGTTAAAAATGTAATAAGGGAAAGTGTTTCTGTCAGGTCGCTGGCCACTGATCACAGCAAGCGAGCCAACGCCAGACTCCGTCAGGCATCATGACACATTTGGCACCTGTCTTGAATAGTGAAGAGGAGAAAGCACAGGGAGCAGGGAGCAGGGAGCGGAGTAGTCTTCACTATTTCAGGCGACAGACCAACAAGCCAGACGAAGGCTTCTCCTTTCAAAGGAATGATGGAAGGCAGCGCTTACCTGGAGCCCAGGTAGCTGCTCGCGGTGCTGCTATCCTTGCATCTTAGACGCAGAGCTCCGGGTTTCTCCCTGCCCACAAGCTGCCCCAGCCAGACAACATCTGTCCTTTGACATGTCAAAACTGGTCAGCTTGGTCTGGCCTTTTGCCCACATATCTTTGGTCAGTTCTTCTGTAACCCTCTGGTCTTGCCAGGCAAGGTCAAACAAGGTCATGCTTCCGTGGTATAGAAACTCCAGCAGCTACAGCACAAATATGAGTTCTCGACTCTCCACTTTTCTTTCTTCAAATCTTCCTCAGGTCTCAGGAAGGTTATATTTTCCTGCAGTTACGGTTCAGCGTTTCTCAGAAGTGTGTGTGTGTATACGTGTGTTTTTCCCACCAAGGGAAGCTTCTGTCTTTCCCTCTCCTCCTACCTACTTGCTGTCGCTAAAAGAGTCTCTCCTTGAAAACTGTAAAAAAGAGACTGGGCAGCTTTTCAAAAATGACAGTTGTCCAAGGGAAGTAAATTGGCCCAAGTTTTTCTGGGGGAAGATTTGAGGAGATCCAGAAGCTGAGGCAGATATAGGAGAGGAGGGAGAAAGAGCCAGGAGAGATGAAAAAGAATTCAGCTGGAAATGAGAATTGTCTAGTCCAAGAGTTTTTGAAAGAAAAGCTGCTTCCCACCATGGCATCTGTGGAATGAAAAAGATAATCTCTTTATTCTCACCTCCTTTTTCTCCCCTCACTCCCACCTTTTATCTTTCCTGCTTGTCTCATGCTGGCCCCAGACCATTTGGAACATAGATTTAATGGGATCAGGCAGTTCAACCCTCAGAGCAGATAAAAGTCCAGAGTGGTGGCCTACTCATGAGTGGTGGCCATTTGCCTTTTGCCCAGAGTCATCAGGGTCTTGGCCCCTTGTCTGGTTCTTCTGCCAGTGATGCCAGGCTAAGAAAGGAAATGGCCTCCTTTGATTTGAAAACGGACCTCAACTACGACCTGTGTGTGGTTAGCAGAGGGAGTAGGAATCCTGACTTCTCTTTCCCATTTCTCCCAATTAGAGCCTTGCTTAACTGGTTTGGGAAAAGCTATTATTTTAGTGGTTTCTGAATCCCTGGACTTGTAGCTAGAGGAAACCTCTCCATTCTTTGCAAAATCAAAAGCTCTGAGCAGATGATTTCTGAGAGGGCTAATCCAGAGGCCGTTTTCAGGCCCCTTCTCCCTCATTCCAGAGCCCCGTCCTCACTGCCATTACCACGGCAAAGACCTAAATCAAGGACGCTATCAGTGTTGTTCGTCCAAGGAGGACAGGCACTTCCGGTTTCCAAATATATCAAAATGAAGTCCCTTGGCCAAGAATTGGAGGATATTCATCAGCTGTTCCATTATTCCCAACCCCTAACACTCTTCTTATACCCCAACCAAGTTCTCGTCAATCCTGGGAACTCAACTGGCTAATTCTTTGCATGCAAATCCTCCTACCTGAAACATGCTTGGTATGTGCCGGGTACTCTACATATACTTGTTAACTTAGGCTTCCCAACTTCCCTACAAGTAGGTGCATGTGGTAGACAGAACTCCAAGATGGCCCCACTAGATTCCTGGCCCTGGTGTACACACATCTTCGCCTCATTATTGAATCAAGTGCTAATCTAGGTACTGCCGGAAAGGATTTTACAGGTGTAATTAAAGTCCCTGGTCAGTTGACCTTGAGATAGGAAGATTACCCAGATGTGCCTGACCTAATCATATGAGCTCTTTAAAAGCAGAGAGTTTTCTCTGGCTGATTGGAGAAGACTGAGTCACAGATTCAAAGTACAATATTGATTTGACGTGCCATTGCTGACCTGACGATGGAGGGGGTCATATGGCAAGAAGATGAGCGACCATTAGGAGCTAAGGTTGGCCCCCCGCTGACAGCCAGCAAGGAAACAGAGACCTCAGTTCTACAACCGCAAGGAAATGAATTCTGCTAACAACAAGAATGAGCTTGGAAG